AGATGGTAGTGGTGGCAGAGTGGTGGGTTTCTGTGGTTCGTAGAGCAGCGCCAAGCATCATGTCACGGAGGTGGCGATCGGTCATGGAAAAACAGTTCGGTCAAAGGGCTGCAAAAGCATGGTCATGTGTGTTTGGATGATGAAAGCTTCAAAAAACCCGAAAAGGTTCGCTGGCAATGTTGTCTCTACTCGCCTTAGAATGTCGGTGAGACCTAAACCTAAGTGCGGTTTTGTCCTGAAACATCGCGAATACAAAAGGAAGGTGAAAACAACTGGTCGCTGCACGTCGAAAGATTTATCCTGTGGCACGCCGGAGAAAAAGCGGGGGTGAAACAAATCACATGAAATAACTGCCAACAGGCGTGCTTGGAGATTTCTCCGGATGACTGTTCTCACTAGGCGCTCGCTCAGCAGCCGGCCGCGGCAGCACATCCGCTGAAGGTGATCGATGTGGTGAAGTCTGTGGTGTTGTCTTGGGGGAAGGGGAGAAATCAGGTTGTGAAGGTGGCGGCGGTGAAGCTGCTGGTGATGTGGGTGTTGGTGAGGGGGAAGGTAATCGTTGTGAAAGATCTTCTTGTGGTGGTTTGGCGGAGAGTTGCTGGTCTTGGAGATGTTGCAGGTCTTTCAGTTCTTGCCATCTGGCTTGGCACTGCTCGACGGAGAATCCTACTCGGCGAGCAACAAATACCCAATTGGGACGTAGTCGAGGGTTGCCTTTGAGTTCAATCAGGCGACAATCGGCGTCGCCATCCCAAGCGTCCCAGTCGGCTTGCGGGTTTGGTGGTGGTAATGGGGGCTGCTTGCGCTTGCGTGTTGTAGCAGGTTGTGGGGTTGGGGCAGTTGACGGTGTGTCGTCGGAGTCTTTGGAGGGTGGTGCTGGCAAGCGAATGGGTGGTCTAGAGGGTGCTGAGTCACATGAGGATGTGGTGGACGGTAAACGTATGGGGTGAGTTGGTGGAGTGGGTAGTGGCTGAAAGTGTTGGCGGAAATTGGGATCCGCTTGGTGGATGTGGTGGAGAAAGTGGGTGTGGAGGTGTGCCACGATGTCTGTTGCTTGTCTGAGTAGGTTTTGGACCTGCGAAAGTGCCACAGTGGTCTGATGTAAAAGGGTTGGTGTGTCGTTGTGTGAAGGTGGCATTGTGCTGCTCATAACGTAGGAGAGGAGGGATGTACAGTCTCTCAGGATCGTTGCAGGTTGCTGCGGCAGCGCGGCAAAGCGGCTAGGCGGCAGCTGGTCAGCGTCAGCGCGTCATCACGGGGCCGTGCATATGAATTAACAAGGCATCAAATTCCCGCGGTCATAGCTCGAAAGTGCAAGTCCAATTGAGAGATCACATGCAAAACTCCAAAAAAAAAGAAGAAGACATCATCAGAAAAGCTAGTGAGAGGTTTGAAAAGATATTCTGCAGAGTGAAACCGTCAAAGCTTGAAAAATTGGAGAGGTCACAAAGTGGCGCGACCGCTGCAAGAATCTTTTTTCCGCTATAGGCGAAGGTTTGTGTAGTGGAGTGAGACAAAAGGTGGAGGTGGAGGGGTTGTGGTGTGGAGACGCTGGTATGTGGTGTTACATGTCTGGTGGAGTGGAGTTGGTTGACCAGGCCAGTCCTTTGACTATGGCGTGGTCCGGGTGAATCACCCAGCAGCGACCCTTCTGGTGGAAAACGGCACCGTGGTGCTCGTTGAGGAGGGTCATGGCGTGTTCCTCGCCACCAGAGGTGTATTTTGTGGCTGCACCCCAGGCGAGGAGTGTGATGATGATAGAGTGGGAGTTCTTGTGGAGTTGCCAGGTGTTGTGGATGATGCGGGCGAACTCGCTTTGGTCGTGGGGTTGATTGTGGGTGATGCGAACCCCCTGGGCAAAAAAGCCAGGGTAGTTGGCAAAGTGGAGTGTGCTCGGTAAAAACCGACCTTGGCGTAGAATGTTGGCGATGTTGCCGACTGGGCCTGTATGGCCAGCGTTGATGTGAGCGACTTCCCGGTGGGTGGAAGTGGCTCGGGAAACCGCTGGTGGTTCAGGTGTGGTGGCCTGTGTGTTGAGGAAGGGAAGTGAGATGGCGTTGTATTGGAATTGGTCGTATTGGCGAGTGGTGTCGTTCCACCTGATATGGGTATATTGTCGGAAGTCGGTGATGTCTTTGTAGGTGATGTTGCAGTCGGTGAGGAGATTGGCAATGTACTGGTGCTGCGGTCGGTTGGGGGTGTCGAGTTGGTTGGCGTGAAATTCAAACCATTCGAGAAGTTGGTCTGTAGGTGAAAGAGCTGGAAAGTTGGGTGGAGGTCGCCAACGGTTGATTGGGCGACGAAGGACTGCTGTGGTGGGGTATTGAGAGGGGTCGGTATTGGTGTTGTCTGTGTTGGGGCGCAAATCGATGGGTTGTGGGGAGCGGCTGCGGGATGGTGTGGGGCTGTACGAATAAGTGGAGGTTGAGGGCGAACGACGTCGCCTGGTGGTGCTGTGGTGCTTGGAGTGGCGGTGACGTCGATGCCTGCGACGGTGGTGGTGGCGCCCCCGGTGGTGGTGGTCGGACTTTCGTCGGCTCTTATGGTGGTGGCGGCGACTGCTGTGATGTGGATGTGGGGAAGGTGGTGGCGGCGCCGGTGAAGCGGCGCTGTCGGGCTGGTCTGTTGCAGGTATGGAGGGTGCAGAGGCTGGTGGGACGGAGGCAATGGATGGTGATTTGGAAAGTTGGGAGCCAGTGGTTGAAGTGGTGATGTGTTGGATAGGTGCTGTAGGGTCTTTGCCTGATGTGGTGGCGTTTTGGATCAGTGCCGTGGGGTCCGATGGTGTGGGTTGAGCTGGTGGTGGATCGTTAATGGCCAATGGAGGCGGCGGCGGAGGTAAAGGTTGAGGTGGAGGTTGTGTGACTGGAGGAAAAGCTGAGTAGGGTTGCCAAACCCCTTGGGGCATAGTGTACTGTGGGTCGACGGCCGGATGATGAGCAACTGTCGTTTGTTGTGTTGCTGGAAGTGGGTGGATCTGCGAGGTGGGATGAGGTTCTGCAGGTGGTGTAGGATGTAGTTGTGGCACCATGTACGAAGGGGAAGGTGCGGCGGATGGAAACACTGGGGGTGGTTGCGTGGGTTGCGGTGGCGGCTGGGATGGTTGCACAAACGTCCAGGTGGAGGGAGTGCCGTAGGACAGTGCAGTGGGAGCTGGAATGGGCATAGTTGGTGGGGCTTGATAGGGTTGTGGTTGTGGATGAGGAAATGCCGATGGTTGTGGTGACGTAAAGGTGGACGCAGTGCAGTTGGCGGCTGCGGCAGCGGCCATGTGGGTTGAGGTAGTGGTGGCGGTGTGGTATGAGTATATGGCCAGGGAAAGTCCATGAAGCAGTCTGACTTGTCAGTGGTGAGAAACAGCGCTGTGTAGAAAAGGCTGCGCTATGGCACGGCGCGGCGCAGCAGCAAAAGTGCAGCTGAAAGGTGACAAGTTGTATTGCTAGAGTGATGTTGCAAATCTGATCGCTCGTGTTGACAGAAAGTGCATTGTGAGACTGAACTGAGTGTAAGCTTGTTGTCATGTGTGGTCATGCATCTCGAATTAGAGTTGAGACCTCCGGGATACGGGTTTGAGATCTTCTGGCGGAAAATTATGGTGTAGGTCGAACAGGCCGCTACATGCAAACTCATGCAGAACTCTACATGCAAAGAACCTGCGCGAACTCTCGCAAAAACTCTTGCAAAACTCAATCGAAATGCATTGGATGAAGTGGTACCGTGGTTTGGCCCGGCGGCCATTCAGTCAGTTGATACTGTGAGGGTGTCGGTGACTGCCTGTGAAGGTCCGATGAGTAGTGGTGCTTTGTGATTGTTGCTTTCCCATGCAAAACCAGCGCCCCTGTGACGGGGATCACACTCAGCACCCGAGTGGGACGGCTGAGCGAGACACACTCTGACACTTGTATTCAGTTAACTCAATTTCCCGATGGGAAGGAAGGCGGTGGAACAGCATGGCGAAAAGTCCGAGAAAACGTAGGTGTTTGAACAATGGTTGTTTCCCTTGACTGCGGTGACGGAAGCGGCGCAACTCAGCTGCAAAAGTGGCTGTGGGAAAAACCTGTTTTAGGGAAGGTATCATGGGCAACCACCATGAATCAAATCAAAAGTGGAAAAGCTTGAGCAACAGTTTCCGGTGCAGGTACGTCGGCAAGCGTCCTTGCCGATATCCTAGGATCATGTGAGGAGCTTCGTTGGATGGAGCCTCACATGTCCTCTCCATCCCCCTGCGTGTGAGACGTGGTTGGAAAAGGTGATCTGTGGAGCAGTCGGACGAAACCCTTTGTCCAGGGGTGGACACACACACACACACACATGAATCCCAAAAAATGGCTCAGCAATGCAGGCGGATTCCTTGGCGTGCCTCATGATCGCCGTGGGAGAAGTTCAGGCGGGCAATGTTCATGCCCTGATCCTTGCTTGAGGGTTTATACAGCTTTGTTGTCCACCACACATAATCTCACATCTGCATCGCTTTGCAGCCCAGATTCAATCAGTTTAACCAACGTTTCCACATCCCAACAGGCAGGGCCCATAGTACAAATGATTTTGCATTTTCCTTAGTTGCTTTGCATTTGGCTGCTCCGAAGCTGGCGGTCATGCTCAAAAGGTCCACTCTGGCCAAGCCGCTGCTAAAGCTGTCTGGTGCAGCAGTTTCTAAAGCAATCAAGTTCGCACGCGTGCCGGGATCATCCAACAGCCTTAAAATCTACTACGTATTCAAAGCATTTCAAAGCAATGAATTGAAAGAATATCCACACATAGTGAACAACTGTGCCGGTTCAAAATGCTCCCAACGGCTTCGACGAGGAACAAAGCGCTTTGCTGATACATTGCGACTGCAGGGTTGGTGGCACTCCTCTGAGCCCCTGAAACGCTGCCAAGGTGTTTCAGTGAGTTTCATGTCTCTCATGGAGTTTACCACCCGTGTCCTGCCTGAGTCATGAGTGAGCTTCGACATGGTTCGATGAGGAATTGACCAACTACTTGCGCCTGACCTCCTTTTCTCTGCCGCTTTTGGACCACGCTACATTCCAAACAATTCCCAAATGAAACGATCTGACGATCGGGTCACACTGGCTTCTCCAATGGCCAGAAGAGCGGTTTGGGTCGGGCATACAGGCAGGCGTTGCAAAGCTGTGCACCATTGTGCACCAACTTTGGGAAGCGCTGCAAAGCAACCCAAACAAAAGCGTTCAGGATGACTCCAGGACAAAACACTCAAGTCACGGTGACCTTAGCATGAAGGATATAGGCGCATCCGTTGCTTTCTGCACTGATATCCAAATATTCAATGGTGACTACGTCAGAAATGTTTACAGGATTTAAAATAGTTTAAAGGTGTTGATCGTACAAAGTGTATCAACACGCACCAATTGAGCGGTGTTCAAAACTGTGCTGTCTTTTCTTGCCGAGAAATCAATCCTTACGGTAGACCTTACGCAAAGCTTACGTTTTTTCTATGTGTTGCTTACGGTGACACATGTATGCATGGCGATTCTTACGTTGTGCTTACGGCGAAGGTATGCAAGTCCACCATGGTCACATATGATATGTTGTTGCCAAACACATATGATATATCGGACACCTTACAAACATCATCTAAAATCACAATGTTCACTTATTTTTTGCCGGTCCCTGACTGAAAAAGAAGGGTGAATTTTAGGACGCTGCTCAATTGCAAATGCCTCACAAATCCTCACAGTCTGTGACAACAGGACTGCGCAGGCAAAAAGGCGTCGGCAAAGGCCACAAGTTGAAAGCACAGCAAGCAGCAAACCTTTGGAGAGCATTAGCGACATTAGGGAGCAAAGATCTGACAAGCATTCGAGACAAGCCAGGAGGGTGACTGACTGCTTCCAAACTCACACGAAATTGGAGTTCTGTTTCAAGTTGTTTCGATTCCATAACCTTGCCTTGACAGCTACAATGTAAAACCTCAGACACCTACCTGTGCGCATGCCTGACTTTCGTCCGAACCTGGCATCTGTCAGAGACCTTGTGCCACCAAAGATGCACCAAAGAGAAGAGCCCGCCATGGAACTGCAAGGGTTTGCCATGGTTTGCCAACGTAGCCGTACAATTGCCGTCCAACAACCCTTAACAATCGCCACACTCCACTGACTGTTTGCTGCCCGGAGAATGGCTTGCAATCCAAGCGCCGCGCTTTCATCTCTGCTCATTGCTGATGTTTTGTTGCTCACCCGGCGGCATTTAATCGCATGCAAGTTGAACAAGTTCTGTTCAATACCGTCTGAACATGCTTTGATCACGACGTGTCTTGCAGTCGGAAATCTCTGCTCACAGTTTATAACTTTGCTCCAGAGACTCCGAAGCAATCAATATTAGGGCTGCGGCAATTTTCAAGAGGTTGGAGTGGCCTCAATCGGCTTCTCTTGATAACTTCAACTGCTTGGAGAAAGTTGTTGCGCAACCACAGTTTGGTATTTCCTGTTCATTCTCCTGTGGAAAGGGCAAATAAAAACAATGCATTGATAGAAGTAGTTGCAGTCTTATAGGAATTGACTACTACCGTCTGTTACACCATCTCTGCCATACTAAGCTGGACAATGACGAAAATGCTTGCCTTGTTTCTGAGGATGTGACCTGGGCACTCCTCCTTCTGGCCGTGCAACGCGACCACATTGTCTCCCGGCTTCACCATGTTGGTTTCCTATTTTTCATGACGGTAAACGATCATAAACATCAACGTCCAACTTCTTAACTAATCGGCAACATGCTAAGCATGTCGTGCTTCAGATTCAGAAGAAAGTGACAACCTAAGCCGCCTTGGCTTTCACCAATGCTTTTGCGATCACTGAATCTGTGCCCTGGAAAGATGCTGTGAGAATGGGCACAACCTTGGAATAGCTTTCTCATCGCAAAAATAACGGGCAAAAAGGTGCCGAAGAATAAAGAACATCGGTTCATTTCAGGTCATCAGGTTATATATCCCCTTCCTGAAATGCAACCATACCCAGTGAGTGCTTGTCTGTCTGAGACCATGTCGAGCCAATTGAACATAATTGAACCGGGTTGAAAACAGGTTGAACACAAATACAGAGTGCCAACCTAGCGACGCCACGATTTGCCAACATTTGCCGTAGTGTGGGCTCGCTGGCAGTGATGGCCTTGGACTACTCACTGCAGGCTGCTACAGGACGGCACTAAACTTCAGCAAAAAGGCAGTCAAACAAGATGCGAGGCAGGGCACTTCATCCCGGAATTCTTACTTGAGGATATTTGAGGGAGGGCATGGGAGGGCTCTGAAAACTTATCTGGGAATCACCGAAATCTTGTGTAGCCAAGGTGCCAAAATTGGAACGGGGGGCCGATACTTGGCAATAACACGTGCAGTATGCCCTGTCTCCGTCAAAGCAATGATCAGCTTGCCTGGGCCAGGACGGCCACGGAACAGATCGAAAAGCAGCGAGGAGCAAGGACGCTACTACTAGTAGGGGCTCCTGGCCTTACTACTAGGAGCAAGGACGCCTACTAGGACTAGGAGCAGATCGGTGGGAACCACAGACCTGTGCATGGCAAAGTGCAATCAGAGTCTATGACCGTCTTCACAGCAGAGGAGCAAACGGACTCAACCTGAGATCTCAAACGAATCACATGATTTGAATTGATTTGAGGCTTTTGCCGGTCTGTTCTTGGAGCCTGGCCATGCTCATGATGTTCCTCTCCAAGGTTGCAACCCTCATTTTTAAGTAGAGTGCCTGCGGAGCGGCCGCAAACACTAGAGGCCGTAGTGGTGTAAGATCCCAAATGCATCCAAAGGAACCCAAAGGCATTGGGCTCTTTTGGGATGGCTTGAAAAAATAACGAAAGCAGCAATCCGCCTTGTAGTCGATGACCCTTTCGCCCACTTGGCAAATATGTCGCATAGTGGCGACTGCCTGTTCTGGGAATTTCCCGCTGGCGGTCTCACCAGACAGCATCACAACATCTGTGCCATCCAGAACTGCATTCAGCACCTTGGTGTCAAAATACTCATTTGTGATTCGTGTGCAATATCTTCAAGCATGTGCAATTTTCCTTGGCACTGGGAAGAAAGGTTTGGTCATGTTTGTGTTCGAAGTTCGGGTGATAAAAGAAGGGGTCCTAGCCTAGCCCTTCATACACTTACCAGTACCAAGTGCTCCCTTGAAGAACTTGCGAATGGGTCAAAATGGTTTAAATGCTGCCAAAGCACATCGGTTGCTTCAGCTCGAGTGGGCCGTGGCGCACGTTCCATTGAATCAAGCATCTGTGTGGCTGTGACAACGAACTTGCCTTAATATCAGTGTTGTCAAGGGTCTGTTTGTGGCTTGTGCGTGCATGTCTTTAATTGTCTTTATATATTGAGCTGCAGGCAAATTTACTTCCATGAACTTGCATTTGCAGGGTTCTCGTCGTCGTGTGGCGATTTAGAGTCCCGAAGCGGTCTACAGTGTTTTAAACATGTGACAAGTCACATGCACACATTAGCTATCAATGGTTGTCATGGATTTTAGTAATTTCAGAAAGCCAATGGGACCTTCAAAAGGAACGGCCTTTAGACATATTTTGACAGTAATTACAAGGATATCTGCAAACCTCCAAACCTCCAAAATAAAAAAAGCACATCTTCGATTCAGTGCAATCGGCACTACAAGAGGAAAACACTAGCGAAAGCAAGCGGCCCTGGAGGTTGCATTTGTTGATAATCATCTTCCTGAAAATCACTGGCTGCCAGCAGTGCTGGTTGGTGATGAAAAGCCAATGGACAGCTATTGATGCGGATTTCAGAACATCTCCAAGTTTGACAAGGATCTGCACCAAGCCAACTTTTTCGATATCGATCTCCATGCCCATGTCACCACCTGCAGTGTTGCAAAGAGGTTTTTAAAGGGGTCTTATTGAAGGGGCCCTTATAGACGCCACGGCAAACCAATGTGGACAGGCTGGGGCCGGAGCGGGCGACCATGATACCATCAGCGGCTTCAATGATCCCATCGATGTTGTTAATGCCTTCCTGATTCTCGATCTTCCTAAGCTGGCAATTCTTTGGATGCTCCTAGTAGCAAAGCCAGGAGCCCCTAGTAGCGTCCTTGCTCCTAATAGCGATGCCAGGAGCCCCTAGTAGCGACCGTTTGCTGCATGTTGCCAAATATGCCAACCTTTCCCAACCTTCACTGCAGTTGTGTGTCGCTATGATCTTAATGCTTCGACCTCGTACGCCCAAGGTTTTCCTAATGAGCTTGATATCGTCCGCATCCTGGTCTGGTTCAAGTTGCAAACGCATGAACAGCCTGTCCAACAAAAACTGGCTGCTTGTTGATGATTCTTTGTGAACCCCAAAGGCAAGTCTGGCCTGCACGAAGCTGGCCGCGACAAAGTCAATGGCCTCTAGGCCCGAAGCTTACAACTTGGGTTGCACAAAGCGTCAGTTTTTGGTAGGAAAACAAACAGTCTAAGTTTCCCTAAATCTAGGAACCAACTCGTTAGTGCAAGCGCTTCTTCAAGGAAGCTTCCCCCGCCGCCCTGTCGGGGAGAGTTTCCTTGAAGAAGCGCGAGCTATCCTGCGTCCAGTTCCTAGTAGCTACTTAAACTACTAGCTACCTCTAGCTACTACCTACTTCAGTTGCGGGCCTACCCCCCTTAAAAAAGGAAAAACAACAGTATGTATGTATTTTTCCCGTTGTCTCTTGGCGTTCTTCGTCTAACTCCGCACATCTCCACACTCAGAGGGCATGGAGAGGAGAGCATAAGGCCAGGAGCCCCTAGTAGCGTCCTTGCTCCTAGTAGTAAGGCCAGGAGCCCCTAGTAGATAATGAACCCAGGCCTGCGGGATGCCGAACTCCAACAAGTCTTTCTTGTCTTTGTCCTCAACGGTTTGACCGATGTCTTGGAGGGTCAAAGTTGGCAAACACCTGTGTATGACATACAGTAAAGATAAATAAAAAGAGGAGGGGCTCCTGAAGAACAGGCAAGTCCACTTTGACGCCAGGCAGGTTCATGTTTTTCTTCTCACCGAGGGCGATGTCATTCAGCACCTGAACCAACAAGCACAAGTCGAGAAATGGGCAGAAATGCTGAAACAAGCTGCATCGTTTGTGCCTCGGTGATCACATGATCGCTGCCACAGCTCTTCACTCTCAAAGAGAGTGAACCATCCGCTGCCAGAATGATGCTGCCTCCAATTGAATCGACTTCGACAGTCTCTTCATGGATCAGAACAAACTGCCCCAAACTAAAGCTGCTGCTGCGGTTGAAAAGGCCCAAATGCCTGGTTTGACGGCTGTGGGCAATTGCTGATAGGACACTGCCAAGGTTGATTCATCCCCCTGGCAGTGTCGTGAGGCAGTTCTAGTATGCGCATGTCTAGTTTCCTTGAGACCACATACTTCTACACTTTTGCCGGTCTCATGAAACTTAGACATTACAGCGTTAAGCAGCACATGTCTTTGTGCCACAAACAACCCCGCCCTTGCCTTGAAACCGTAGTCTGTCACAAGCTTGAGCTCTTGACCATCTTTCAGGTTGATTTTCCCACCTGCAAGTTCCTCCTGCGTAATTTGTCAAATGTGCTGGTACAAGATTGCCTAAATCCAAACCAGAAACTGAACTTGAAAACTGTTGGCTCTGTCCTTGAAGAAGCCTGTTCTGATCTCAGGGCCCTCACGTTGAAGTAACACAAAACAACAACCATGAGAATTGGGAATTGCATAATCAAACATAATCCAACGTTTCTGCTTCATGTTTGAAGCTTCAAATTCCGTCGCTTTGTCATTGAACTTCGATGGGCAAGGGATAAACCATGAGATGGAGGGGTGACCGACCATCTCACTAAAACCCCAAGTCTTCCGGCCTTGGTGTCCAGTAAAATCGCTATAGGCTTGTCAGGACGCTGCTTGCATGCCTCATGTGTGCGGCTACTTGTAAGACTTGGTATATATGCCTCTTGTTCTTGTTTTTGCTTCCTTGTTCAATATCTCCTCTCAAAGAAAGCCAGAAGCAACACAGGGTGGTGCCTCTCGGATACGTTCCACTGTCTTTGCGTGGCCCTGTCAAAAAAGTCCAAGCAATCTTGGAAATTATCACTCGCGATTTCAGCTTTCAGTAAGAGGTAAGAAGTGCGGCTGCACGCTTTCTGTGTTGTTGTACACACATCCAGCCTCATGGTCTCCGTGGGAAAAGTTCAAGCGAGCAATGTTCATGCCCGCATCCTAGGTGGAACAGCGGCTTCAAGTTAATCGGACAAGAAAGGCTTGGAGAGACCCATAAAACTCACGTTTACTTGTTTTCCAAAAATGATCAAGAAAGCAACTCTACCAAGGCTCAATGAGCTTGACCAGCATTGGTACATCCCAGCAAGCAGGTCCCATTGTGCAAATAATCTTGCATTTTCCTCACATTGTGCAGGAAGGTTAATTGTCCCAGGTTGTTTGACCGTGGCTCTAGCCTCTAAAAAATTGCTCGATGGTGCTTTGGTGCTGAGATAAAACTTTGGAAAAACTTATTGGTATGAGATTCATCATGATTCATCCCCTCAAATTGGACATTGGCTTTTGTTTCAGAAGGACTACAGGAATGCTCAGAAGGACTACAGACTGTCTGACTGTCTCAATTGTGAATCTCTCTCAGTTCATCATGACTTGACTAATACTGCATGGATACTGCATGAACATGCTTGTATTAATATATACTGTACATGCTTGTGATGTGATAATGTGCACAAAAACAAATAATAGCAGCATAAAGAAGTAAGATAGGGCACCTGAGTCAATTTTATCATGGTAGGTAGACCAATGGTAGACCATTTCTCATTCATCATGTTGATTTTGCCAAAATACGGTCAAAGGAATCAGCGGCAGCAGTCTCCAGCGCAATCAAGTTGGCTCGTGTTTCAGGTGCATCCAACAGCCTTGGCAAACTTCACACTCCACAGGGCGGGCAAACTCGTGTTTCAGGCGACCTGCGCTTGAACCCGAATTGCAATTGATGATTTTTGATGAACAAAAATATCAACCAAATTGCTAAACGGTTTCAAGCGTTTGGCTTCTGCCCCTCTCAAATCTAAACAGGATGCTGGAGAAACAGGTGTGTTTCTTTATGGTGTGTGCTTTACATCTTCGGGTACCCAGGACCACAAAAATCACAACATAGATTAGGAAACTCAACCAATAAAACCAAAGGTTGGTTTTTGGGAGCGTTAACAATATAAAATTGTGAATTCCTGATCTAACCTTGCAAGTGAGATAGGTACAGTATACACACATATTATATAATATATATATATGACTGTACAGATTGTACATTATCATAGTTACGAGTTTCCCTAGATTTGTCGTTAGCTCCCCTATGTTCAATGTTCACCCACAGTCAAACAAAGGCTGCAGTGCATCCAGGAAGCAAAGCACTTTGCTGATACATCGCGCAGGACAAGCGCGCATGAAGATGTTCACGACTGTGAGGAAAACAGCTGCTTCAAAAACATCAATCCATCAGCAAAAAGGACAGGAAGTACAAGGGCTACCGAACAACGCCTTAACATGCCTTAACCCTTTCTGCTCTAGCCCTCCAGTTGGCTCGAAGAAAAGCTACAAAATCTGAAGTCTCACAAGCTGCACAAGCTCTGGCGGGGCATAAAAGTTTCAGCAGAACTCTTTTATTGAGGCTCCAATATTTGGTGCGCCTCCTAGCGTTTCAGAAAAAATGCTGGCTGTTTGCCAATCAGCACCATTTCAGTAGGCGACACTGGCCTGTGAAGGGAACTGTTGTGAATGGATGATTAAGTAGTCTACCCTTCTTGGTTTCAGCAATGCAACTTCAATTCAACGTTGTGCCCCGTGTATGTCTTACGAGTCCGACAACAGTGGAGTTGTTCCAATATCGATCCAATATCGAACCTTAATAGCATCCAGGACTCTCGCTGGGGAGGGCACGTAGAATTCCTGGCCGATTGGCAATGTCCAAAATCGACATTAACTATATATATACTCAATTATTAATCAATCCCGCTCTCTTTCTCTCTCTCTCTCTTTTTCTCTCCATCTCAATAAACATGCAGAAGGTGAAGCAAGTGACCCACCGAAGGCCTCCCATGCATACGGGAAGTGGGTGTCATAACCTCAGAACCATGAAACGCCATGTCATCGCACGCACATCAACAAGTTTTCTTGAATGAATATCACACACTTGAGATTCTCCGTACTGATGTGAATGCCACTCGCCACACGGCAACCTAAGAAAACCAGATTCCTGAACAGCCAGGTAAGGAGGTCTAAGCGCCTTTAGTTAGAGGCCAAAGTTCCAACTCCACGATACGACGAACAGGTCGAGTTGACGGCGATCGCTCTTGTCTGCAGAGTGCACTAGCCCTTTCAGGAAAATGAGGGTAACAGCTTGTAAACATCACAACCAAGCAGGTACGTGATCCCAGCGTCCCAGGATCATATCAGCCATGGAATGCAGCCCTCGTCGTTGGACAACCAACTGCATCCATGGGGTTGTCCCCCTGCTTGAAAATCAAGCCAAACAATCCAACAGGAACCTTGTGACTCCAAAGGTTACACACACTTATGGATACGCGTACTGACTCGACAGCGGCGCCACACGCCGGCCTGAGTGAAAAACCTAAGGAGCCAGGACAGGTGTCAGTAAGTGGAGGCCCTTACTGCAAGGTTGGAGGCCAGCAAGACTCAAAACACGAAACGCGAGTAGCGATTAGTAACAAAACCACATGAACCACCATGAAAGCAAACCACAGCGAGAACAACAGGTAACCAGTTTGGCAGGTACGTTTGCACGGACCCCAGAGGAGGTCTTCGTTGGCCACCGCTCCTCTGGGGCCCCGGTGGGCCCCTGCTGAAAAAAGAAAAAAAGAAAAATTAGCACAGACAAGGGGCACACGCACGCGCCTCCCCAAAGGGAGGCCTCTGGACGAATCCGGAATCCCTCAAACTGAACCAATCGGCCATTCGTAGAGTCCAATTCTCATGTTTGCGACTCAGTACGTCAATAAGACGTACATCCACGATAGGCGCGGACAAAGTAGTAGCAACGCCAGGAACCTCTAGTAGCGTCAAAGTAGCAACCTAGCACCTAGTAGGAAGGCCAGGAGCCCCTAGTAGCAACCCAAGCTAAGGTCCCGACAGGAGGGAGGGGTAGGGAGAGACGAGAAAAAGGAAAGAGAAGAAAGGAAGGTGTTCCCAGCTACGACGTATGCGTCCAAGGACACACCAAAGGAAAAGAGGAGAAGGGTTCCCAGCTATGACAAAAGCATCCAGGGACACCCAAGGAGGAAGGAAGGTGAAGAGAGGAAAGAAAGAGAAAGAAAGAGAGAGGGCGAGAAAGGGAGAGGAGAGAAAAGAAAAAAGGCAAGTGTTCCCAGCTACGAACAATCGTCCAGGGACACACCACAGAAAGAAAGTGGTGATCCTGAGTATTCCATTCAGGAAAGCACCAAAAAGCAAAAAAAAAAAGGGGGAAGGGGAAGGGGGGGGACTAAGCTCGCGACAGGTTCCAATGAACCTTAAACTTGCTTTGACCGCTCTGGTCACCTTGTGCCCTGCCAAAGTGGCTGGCTGCTTTGACCGCTGCGGTCACGGAAAGGCATGTGCCAACTTGGAATTCCAAAGATGAGACAAAAAAATCCCAGTTCTTGTGGCATAAGCCATCTGCTGTCCGCTCCGGACACTTACATCTCCGGGCAGGGGAGATAACGACAAACCCCCGTTCGACGGGGCCAAACACACTTATGGATCTGCGTACTGACTCGACAGCGGTGCCACACGCCGGCCTGAGTGAAAAACCTAAGGAGCCAGGACAGGCGTCAGTAAGTGGAGGCCCTTACTGCAAGGTTGGAGGCCAGCAAGACTCAAAACACGAAACGCGAGTAGCGATTAGTAACAAAACCACATGAACCACCATGAAAGCAAACCACAGCGAGAACAACAGGCAACCAGTTTGGCAGGTACGTTTGCACGGACCCCAGAGGAGGTCTTCGTTGGCCACCGCTCCTCTGGGGCCCCGGTGGCCCCCTGCTGAAAAACGAACAAAAGAAAAATTTAGCACAATCCGACTGGATCCCTGTGACTACAAGGAGCACACACACACACACACACACACACACACACACACACACACACACACACGCCCCCCCCCGCGGGGAGGCAATCCTTTTCGCATTAATCATCCCTCGAAGGTCCCGACAGGTTCCATTGCTTTGACATGCTTTGACCGCTATGGTCACCTTGTGCCGTGCCAAAATGGCTGGCTGCTCTGACCGCTATGGTCACTTAAAGGCATGCCAAAATGGCGGCCAGCTTGGAATTCAATAATCCGTCAGGTCTTGGCAAATAACTTTGGCATAAGCCTCCTGCGCTCGCTGCAAGCTGCTTTGTATCCGGGCAGGGGATACGTTCGACAAGCCCCCGTTCAACGGGTTTAGAGGGGCCACTCTTCGGGTCACCCTGGGCTGGCATGAAGCCAAACACATGTGAGATTATCCGTACTGATGTGAATGCCACTCGCCACACGGCAACCTAAGAAAACCAGATTCCTGAGCAGCCAGGTAAGGAGGCCTGAGCGCCTTTAGTTAAAGGCCAAACTTCCAACTCCACGATACGACGAACAGGTCGAGTTGACGGCGATCGCTCTTGTCTGCAGAGTGCACTAGCCCTTTAAAGAAAATGAGGATAACAGCTTGTAAACATCACAGCCAAGCAGGTACGTGATCCCAGCGTCCCAGGATCATATCAGCCATGGAATGCAGCCCTCTTCGTTGGACAACCAGCTGCATCCATGGGGTTGTCCCCCTGCTTAAAAATCAAGCCAAACAATCCAAAAGGAACCTTGTGACTCCAAAGGTTACACACACACACACATTTTCCGTCACATTGGAAGTCCGAAGTCAACGAACCAATGCACTGCGAATCGACTAGAAATGGGTGAAGACGGTGATTAAGATCGCTGCCACATACTCTTTGGATGGGACTCTGCAAGTGAAGGAAGCATCGCTCCTATGCTCGATCATCTGCAACCATCCACAGCTGCTAAACCAAATCTCATCAGCAAATCAATATCTCACAACCTGGATGTGTTCAACTCCTGAATCTTGGCCGAAATCTCTGCACCAAAGCCATTGGTCTGTGGCGCCTCAAGACTGGATCCATCGCCGAAGCATGCCAAAGCTTTCCAAAAAAAAGTATTGTAACATTTTGTACACTCCCTGAAATAATCATGCAAGTGGAAAAGCCACCTGTTTGTGGAACATGACATGGTCACCCACTGGGGCCATTGTCCACTTCCATTATTTCAAGGAGCGTAACTCGGAGCCCCTAGTAGCTTCTTGCTCCTAGTAGCTACTTGTTCCTAGTAGTAAGGCCAGGAGCCCCTAGTAGCGTCCTTGCTCCTAGTAGCGATGCCAGGAGCCCCTAGTAGCGAACATTGCTCCTAGTAGCTACCCTGATGGTTGCTACATGTTGCTCTTCTGCCTCGTGCGCAATGATCAAGCGACCGGTCTTCTGGACGGATGCCTCAAAGCTCTGCATGCTCTGCTTACGAACCACGGTGGTCACCGGTCTTCAGTTCGAAGGCCTTGAACAAATGATGCAAAGCAATGCTGGCCTGGACAGTGTCAACATCCCAAGGTATGATGGTCTGCAAGTCTATGACCTCGGTCAAACTGAACGACTCTGGTGCCAAGGGAGCTTGTCCATTTGTGACCCAATCCTTTGCAACACGTTTTGTTGCTGCAAAATGCTGCAAGTATCAAGGAACAAAGGAAACAACCACTGTTGGTTTGGCCAGGACTGGCCTGAGAAGGCAAAACAGCATGTCCGAGGCGAGTATAGCCCCGATGGATTTCCCCGACCCCAGTGGTAAATGGACTCCAAATCTCCATTCACCACATGCATTCCCAGAGTTTGCAAAGTGCTGTGCTCCAATTTAGAATCGGCAGCTTTGGTACCAAGAAAGCAACCTGTGAGACTACAACCATTGGCAAGACTTTGGAACACTTGTTTGCGCGAACCATCCGTTGTTTCATCGAGTTGCCTCACAAGAGATTCCATCCGCAGCTGCCCGGGCTGCAGCAGCTTGTAGGCGCCCAATCTGTGAGCCCCAGCCAACAAGTGTCACCTTGGAGCATCATAGGCTGCAGCTGCAAGAAACCTTGAGTCACACTATTATGGTAATAAAATGTAATACGTAAGTAATCGTAAGTATACAGTATTCTTTTTTGACAAGGGAAAAAGAAGCACATCATCTGCACATTTATGACCAGCACTTGGGTGGTTTGAAGTTCAAAAGTTGAGACGAACTTCATCAGCAAAGCATCCGCATCTTTTGTACACCAAGGCTGAAGGAAAACTGTAACCGCAAAGCAAGAAACTGATATATTATCTTGATATTTTTCATCTTTGTCTTCTGCTTCTGCCCGAACATAAAAACTTACACGACCAATCGATCTATTGACACTGCCAACCAATCGAAAACCGGGTGGTGACGATCGCTGCACTACTTCTGCTGCGTGACATCCTTGCCCTCTTGGACCACTTCAGCCTGTCCAATAGGCAGCTCGTAGTCGCCCACGGGAACTTGTGAATCTGGGCCTCGAAAATGGTCAAGGAACAAGTGAGTACTCAAGTTTGCTCTTGATGAGCATAATACCAAGTCAAGAACTCAAAGGGAACATGTCAGACCGTCAAACGACTCAAACTCTGGATGGGTCGCCTTCAATCTTTGCCCTGTAGAGGACTTTGGGCTCGAAGAATAGGACCTCGCAGGAAAACGGCGGGGACTACAGTGGAATTGAGGCTCGGCGCTTATCACAAAGGGGTGTCAATAGAGGCAAACATATTAATTGTCATTGACTCGACTCAAAAAACAGTTCTCATTTAACTAAACACTGAGACTGTGTGTCTTCATGAACAAATTGAGAGCAAACACATAATTCAAAACTATGTGAAACATGCCTGCGTCCCAAACAAACACCAAACAATTCAGGAAATCCACACTGGCAGCAACAGCAAAACACATGCAGCCAAACCCCTTTTGGGGTGAGTATTTCAGCACCAGAGTGGTCTCTGGTGTGACACGTGAGTTCAACCAGCCCTCAACTGTTCTGAGTTGAACCTTCAGTCGCCGAAGCTTGCCGAAAGCTTGCGACAACAAGCTGGTCAAAGCCTATAGATACTATAGAGAGAGGTAACCAAATCCCTGCTCGCCTGCTGGTCTCAAATGTGTTGGCTCATCTGACTCGTCGTTGTTCTTTGCTACTGTTTGTGTACTCAACACGCATTCCCTTTTGATGGCAGAGTGGGCACAGCCTAAACCTTCTAAACAGTCTTTGCGCTCCTAGGTTGCTACTTCAAGTGTTGAGTTTGGCTGCAAGGTGTGCGCTTGCGATCGCTACTAGTAACAAGTGCATCGCCAGTAGCTTTTTGCTACTAGTAATAATGCCCTTGTTACTAGTAGCGATGCACTTATTACTAGTGAGCTACGATCTTTTCTTGATCTTTGTGCCAAGTCTCTGGATCAGGGTCTCGGATGGCAGCCAGCAGCAGGCCTTTTGCTTGCTTGGGACCTCGAGGGATGATGATCTTCAGCCCAGGGCAGTGAGCAAAGTAAGATTCAACCTTAGTGATCCACTGTGTAAAGAGCTGCTACAAACACACTCATGGCGTCTTTCTCACCCACCAAGAGCCTTATCTGCCTTTGAGTATCTGCGAGCATGGAGGCTTGGTCATGCATTCTGGAATCGTTTCTGTGAAATATGTCACATTTCAAATCATGAATCCGGGAATAGAAGCTAGAGCGCAATGAAACAATATGCCACCCACGAACGCCCATGTAACTCAGTTTGGCACACTTTGGCTGTGGTACATGCTTCCATGGCCCACAGCTGAACAAGGTGCCCTAATCGTGATATTGCCAGCCCCACCACCAGCGTTGCGGTACCGATACCTTGATGACTCAAAACACTCCCCTTCACATCTCAAGGAGTCTTGACGCCAACCTTCAACAATTCTAACTAAAATTAACTAAATCAAGTGTGAGTGCGCTGGTGGACCAAATGTCGCTTTTGCCTGAGGTTATGGCTTTGCAATCTCATTGACAATTTGATCAAAGGCAGGGAAGATGTAGTCAGCAAACTGCATCTCTGCGATGGCTTTGTAGCCTGCAACGGAGAGACCTACTGCAAAGCCGGCAATTGCTTGTTCTGCCACTGGAGCATTCATCACCCGATGCTCCCCAAACTTTTCGCGCAATCCCACGGAACATCGGAACACTCCACCAAAACCCACATCTTCTCCAAAGAGTACTGATCTCTCGCTGGAGGCCAACGCCACTGACAAGGCGTCATTGATCGCCTGAACCATGGTCATCTCTTGCGTCTCTTTAGGGGGAGCTGGCGGAATGTGCCGAGGGGCAGAAGCGATGCGCTGCGGAGATGTGGCTGGGGCTGGACCATCTAAGCCACGATAGGCACTCATCTTGTAGTCTGAGCTGTATTCGCGGCAGTGCTTTTCTGCATAGGCGGCCTGCTCCTCCAAGTGCCATGGCAAGTCAGTGTAAACATCTGTGAAGAGCTCCCTCAACGGCGGCTTCTTTTTGGTTTCACCACTTTTCATGGCTTGAAGCATCTCATCCCGTGCTGCTGAAGCAATTGCCTTCTCCTTCTCATCGCTCCACATGCCTTTTGATTCCAAGAATGCCCTCCATCGCGGGATGGGTCCTAGTGACTGGTACTGTTTTATTTCCTCCTTGTCTTCCTTGCGGTATGCTGATGAATCATCCGAGGTTGTGTGGTCCCCAACTCGATAAGTCATAAGCTCCAAAAGAATTGGTTGTTTGTTCTCAATGGATCGCTTCCGAGCTTCTTGTGTCGCAAGGAACACGGCCACCAAGTCATTGCCGTCAACGCGAACCGTTGGAATTGCGAAAGCCGGGCCCCTGGCTGCGATACCATCGCCCCGGTACTGGTCCTCCACTCCAGTCGAGATTGAATAGCCATTGTTCCGGACAATGAACAAGGTCTGTGACCCATAGACTGAGGCAAAGTTCAGCGCTGTCAACGCATCCCCTTCTGAGGCAGCACCATCCCCAAAGTAGGCCACAGAGACTCGATCCTCTCCATCCAACTTGTAAGCATATCCAGCTCCAGGAGCCTGGGGAACCTGTGTCCCTAGCACTGCATGCACAGTTTGCATGTTCTTCTCTAGCATGCAGTAGTGCACCTGCAGATTTCGACCCTTACTCCGATCGCCTTCGTTTCCAATGTTCTGGTCTGCAATTTCTTGGGCAGTGAGCCCTCGCCACAGAAAGGCACCCAATTCTCGGTATTGGGGCCAAATCATATCCTGTGGCTGCAAGGCTGCTGCAGTTCCGACACTAGTTGCTTCTTCGCCATAGTTTGTGCAATAAAAGCTAATGCGGCCCTGACGTTGCATAGTCAACAGGACGTCATCATAGACTTTTGACTTGACCATGAGCTCCATCATTTGGACACCCTCCTCTAAAGAGAATGGAAGGTCTACTCCATCCTGCAGCTCTCCTCTACTATTCAAGACCTGAAAAACTGGAAAGGTGCTTTCACTACCGTCTTTGAACTCCAGATGTCCGCTGAAGCTTGTGGATTGGACTCCTTTCCAAAGTAAATGTGTGTCTGTCGAAAAGCCAAAGCTGTGAGGTCTCAGTGAGCGGAGATGGTTTCTCCCAAAATTCTGCTTTGCACAGCTCCAAAGTATTGCGGGAGTCCGGCGCATGGCTTTCAAAGGACAGCAGGAACTCCCTGACCCAGAATGAATATATCTCAAACTCTCCATACAGTACTGAGTAAAGGGTGCCGGAACCCATGTATATAACATTATATAACTTGAGCATCGCTGTACTGGGACAAGAGGTTGCCGAACATGAGTAGTGAAAGGGTGTTCGATGTGCTTCTGGGCTTCTGGCTGGTTGGGTATTAACATGTTCACTTGCATTAAGAACTGCTTCACATCTCCGGCCTAGTCTCTCTATGGTGAACTATCGCTACCATACGTTTGATTCTTCGGTGATAGGCATGCGGCATTTCGGGATTGCAAGCCTGGAAGCTTTTGAGAAGGATTTTCAGCAAATAGCTTGCAGTTCTGAAGAATACTGACATGGTCATGAACCTGTCAACTTGCTTTTTACAGTGCCTGTCGACTTGTGGCTCCTTTTCGGCGTGTGCACCTTTTCGGCTTGTGGCTCTTTCGCTCTGCACTAGCAACTCATGGACACCGTCACGTCTCACGGCGCTGCTGTAGTTCGCGCTTTGAGTGGTGAAAAAGATTGCCAGTTTGGCAAGGCCTACATGGGGGACCTGGCCTGCAATTCAACCAAAAACACTAAATATGTGATTGAATGAAGAAATCTGGAGGTTATGTTCACTCAGAATGAATGAGTTCACTCTGCATGGCCATACCCGATTAATTTACGCACTGCAGACAAGCATCATCCTTCCATGGAGACTGCACAAGTGCCGTCGAGCCTCGGCCATTCTTCCTTTGATTATCTTCAGCGCTCAGTTCAAGTCACAGCTTTAGGGACGGCTGAGACAAAGTCAAGGTGGAACGTAAGTTGACGAACTGTTTAACAAACGTTAACAAACTCAGGGTCAACACACACACAGACTGGACAAGTGCCCGCTGCTGCTCTGGGGGCAGGAAAGAAACATTCAGAAACTTGGGTCTGGACACTGTTTGGCGCCTTCCCCCAAGCAGCACAGTGCCACAACACATGGCTGAATGCCTCCTGATCAAGCTAGCTGTTTCATTTGCCTCTTGATGCCTCTTGCATGTCCAAAGAACCACTGGATGGCAACTCTGTGGCCTCCAGCTGCTCAATATTCTTGAGAGAAGGATGCCCCAACAACACCTGCATCTGAAAGCACTCAATACATTCAAACATACATGTCACAAACTGCATACCCTGCCTTTCGACTGCGGTGGTGGCTTCTCAGGCATCAGTGTCTGGTGAATGTTGGGAATGACCTCGATGTTGGCAGTTTTGAATCAAGCTGCAAGCAGTATATAGTGGAGGAAACAAAGCTGATACTCAGCAACCAGCCCCACCAGACCTTACAGTGACATTGCTCATGTACTTGTTGAGCTCCTGGGCTTCGCTGCATTGTTACTAGCTTCTTGTTCCTAGTAGCGATGCCAGGAGCCTCTAGTAGCGTCCTTGCTCCTAGTAGCAAGGCCAGGAGCCCTTAGTAATAGTAGGTTCTTGTTCCTAGTAAAACATAATAAAACATGGAGCCAACATTTGCTTCTGATTGGTAGGAAGCCTCGTCATTGCGAATGGCCAGCTGGATGTTTCTTGGAATGATGCGCTGCTTCTTGCTTTCCTGACGACAGGTTCGAAAGCAATTGGGTCGCGCCAAGCTTCGACAAATCTCCCAGGCCTTGGCAGAGTTTCCTGCAAGTTCCAGGATTTCTGCGCAAACGTACTCGATCACCCCGGTAAGGTAGATGCCCCTCAAGGTTTCGCTTGCCAACGCGCTATGCAATACGCAGTGCAACGTGCAGGAAGCAATTGTTGATGTGTCTTCGGCTCCGTCTTCCACTTTGCAAGTCAACACTGCAAAGGCTTCACTATCTACTACCTATATACCGATTGTAAATACTGTAAAAACATATACGTTGATGTACTTTGCGCAACTGGAGACGACTCAGGTCCTCACGCGTCCTTCTGAACACCTTGATTCATTGATGGTAGAATGTCATGTAGTGAGGACTACACAGCAACACCCGTAGTCTGGCGTGCAAATTGTTCTGGGCAACATGGCATTGCAAGGGATTCCACCAACTGCCGAGCGGCGTTTTGCGTATCCGCTGTCCTTCAGCATCTTCCGGATGCGAGACACCGGAAAGCCTGTCAAGCATTCATGCACTTCATACAGTTGATTGAACACATATTATACTATATACGTAATGATATGCATATATTGGTACACACCTAGAAAACAGTTGACATCAATGCAACCACTCCTCGGAAATGAATGATGCATCAGCTCAACATACTGTAACTCAAGTCTACATTCACCTATATAGAGCAAAGCAAGACTCTCAATCAAGCATGGCGGAATTGCATAGGCCAGCCCTGTTCTCGATCCGAGTGGCCTCGGTACTAACGTGCAATTTCTTAGAAATTGGAAACATGACAAAACGGCAAAACAACATGGAATACATACATTTAGCTTCAGTCTGTGCCTTCTTCCCTTTCACCGGCGGTTTCTTGGTTCGTGTTGGTGCCTTGCGCGAGGACGACTTTGGAGCGGCCTGATGCACGCAGCTCGAAAGTCATAACTTATGCCATGTCATTTCAAATCCATCTACTGGCTACAAAACTAGGAGTTGCAAGATGATGGCACATCCTGCTTGGCCATGAGAGCGCCTTGCCGCTGGGCTCTTCTGCTTCCTCTTCAGGCTCCTCGTCGTGGTCATCTTCTTCGTGATCCTGGAGCTCTTTTCCAAAGACGATAGCGTTGTGATGCATATCATGCAGCAACGAAACGGCAAATGGTGTACCTTGCCTGAGACACTGCGATCTCAGAACATGACCCTGACCGGTGAAACGCTGGGTGGATTTTAAAATGTTACCAAGCATGACATGCTACAGTACGAGTACCATACCCCTCAGATTCCTTCATCTGATACCATTCGGAGTGATCATCTGTGACTCGCAAACCTGTCTCCGTGCCCAAATGCCCAACTCAAGTCTGGTGGCAGGACCTCTGCTTTGGCTCTCGAGTGCAGCACCGAAAAGGACGTTACTAGTAGCGAGGCACTTGTTTCTAACAGCTTCTTGTTGCTACTAGTAAGGCACTTGTTACTAGTAGCGAGGCACTTGTTCCTAGTAGTTTATTGTTACTGTTTTCGAAGTAATTGCAAGCCCGAGCCGGCAATGGTCTTGCGACTAGGACCTAGGATACAGCATCCAACACAAAGCGGTCAAAGGAAGGGCGGAATAAAACAGAAAGACATGTCAATCACCACTGATGTTGTTGTTGTCTCTTCAGTAGTCCTCTGTCTTAGCGGCTTAACTACGCTCTCCACTATACTACAAAGATCTACACAAATAATTGAGGTCCTGATCATCATCTTCAGCCACGTCAGCTGGCACAATGTCCTCCTCAACATCTATTCAACGCTTTCCAAGGTGTTCCGCTCGAATCTTTTGAGTTTAATTGGTTTTGCTCGTCCCAGTCAACTCTAGACATTTACAACACAACATACAGCGGTCAAACTCAAAGAATGGCGTTCTGCTTCAGTTCCTGCTCGCCTGCCTGTGACCTCTCTCTCTCTCTGCCTCTTTCTCGTGATTTCCACTGACAGAGCAACTTAAAAACGCACTAACAAATAAACCAACCAGCTAACTGACTGCTCCTGATCTGACATCCTGATGCACAAAAAGAGTGCCTCAAGGAGAAACGGTGACATGTTCAAGGTGCTCAACATTCTAGCTCAGCATCGAATTGTTCATGAAGCTTTCCTACTGATCATTGCCAGGTCCCCCAAACCTATAAACATGAGTACTCAACCCCTGACCCGGTTCGACCTTCGCAAACAGTGCTTGCCTGATGGGTTGCACAGAGCCGCGGAGTGCGCAAACAGTATGCAAATGAGCTTGAACCATCAAATCAATTTAGCAAGGTTTTACAGTCACATGACATGAACAATCAAAACAACAAAAATTTGAGAAACACATTATTTCAGCTTAGCGTCGCTTCATTGTGTACCATCATCTACCTGTTCATCGACCAGCTATGAGCTCTCACGTTCTGCAATTTTCGCGCTGCGAAGATATGAGGAGCAATGCCAGGAGCCCCTAGTGGCCTCTTGTTCCTAGTAGTAAGGCCAGGAGCCCCTAGTAGCGTCCTCGCTCCTAGTAGCGATGCCAGGAGCCCCTAGTAGCCTCTTGGGATGTGAGCTGAATATAGCGAGACAGCACCCAACACGGCGGAGTGACGGGATGGGGCCACGCCATCTCCACGCAAGAAGCGCCGGTTACTCGTCGCCTGCTCTATTTAAAAATTGTCGACCGAGCAAGAGACGGTGAATCAGCTCTTTCAAGAGAAGCTGTTGCATTAAAGGAATTACTGTATGCAGGCTGCATTTGCAGCGCAAGCAGCAGGGGTTGTTTCCAACAAAACCTTCAGCGAAAGAGGGTTCTCTAGCAGAAGGCCAAGACTGACCTTGTTGGTGATCCAGAATCCCAACAAGTGCTGTACCGCTAAAGCCATTCCCCAGGCTTCAGTGGCGCTCTGCGCACGGAATCAACAAACATCGTCAACATCTCTCGATGGAGGATTTGTCATGTGGAGAGCACCGGAGGTGGAATAGTTGACTCTCACCTCACCTCGAAAAACTATGAAAAAGTTATGCCCTTCAGGGCGCTTGGACAATCGCAGCAAGCTTAAATATATGCTCCGCATAAAGCCGTCACATGAGGCGTAAAAAGGGGTTCTGGACCACCACTCATGTGACAAAAAACCCTTCGCGTCGCACAAATAAGCACCCCCAACAGGCTCGCAAATCGCCTGCGACTTAAAGAATTTGCATAAACTTATTATCTCTAGCGTATCCTCGGAGGTGGGTCATTGCCTTCACGGGACACAGTCGAAGCTAACCAGCTCAAAGGCCTGCACCGACACAGCAATCTACTAGCGGGAATGTTGGTATTTGCAAAGCAAGTCAAACGTAGTGTCTGGGCGCAACTCTTTGCAAAAGAACAAGCTAGGAACGGTAGAAAGGAGAATGAAGGCAACCCGACCAAGGAGGCTTCAACCGAGAGTTTGCAGTCAAGGTGCCACAGTGCGGATGTTTAAAAGGAATGTCTGATGACGTAGCATGTGTGTAAAAGTAAACACGTAGCATTGTACAAAAGGAGCTCATGAAAATCCTGAAAATTACTGTCCTATTTCTTTGTTAAGTGAGAGCACAGCATCCGTGCTATTCAAAAAAGATTCTCTTCCATAATTAATCCATATATCTGTGACATTCAGTTTGGTTTCAGAGCCAGCCGCTCCACAGCCGGCCCACAGCCTTCTTCCAACGTCTTACAGAAGAAGGAAATGATTATTAATTATCTCATTATATCTATATGGGTGTTGATCTAAAAATTACTTTAGCCAAATGTTGCCTTCCTGTGCTTTATCATTCGCCGAAGTATGTTGTATTTATGTGTGCCATGTGTGTTGTATGATGGATATCAATTTTGTTCATGCCAATGGCTTCTTCTACGGGCAAATACCAAATAAAAATTCACCGTTTGTCAGCATGTGTCTTCGATTTAACTGTTGACACCCTGTCCGTCTCTTTTGTTTCTCCCGGGTGTCAGCAAGAAGAAAAATTGCAAGAATCACTGTAGTAGCCGGTCACTCAGACTTGCTCATAATGGGCTGGGGGTTCAGATGTGGCAGGGTAAACTTTCGCCAGTCTTGAGCTGAACTTTCGCCAACCTTTTGCCTTTTGCGCGGTAGAGTTTTGTGGCAAAGCCGCCCCCCCAAAGCAGTAGTAGTAGTAGTCGTCGTCGTCGTCGTGGTAGTGGTAGTGGTGGGAGTGGTAGTGGTAGTAGCGGTAGTACTAGTAGTAGTAGTAGTAGTAGTAGTAGTAGTAGTAGTAGTAGTAGTAGTATGTAGTAGTAGCAGTAGTAGTAGTAGTAGCAGTAGTTAGTAGCAGCACCAGAAGGAGTAGTAGTAGTAGTAGTAGTAGTAGTAGCCGCAGCAGCAGCAGATGATGATTCATATAAATGATAAAGTACACTCATTCACTCTGATATTAGAATGTGAGCTACATGAGCAGCTACATGACTCTGCAGCGTAAGTGCAACAAATACACATTTATACGCATTGGTTATAAAAATCCGTGTCTTAGCGTGTCTACGTGTCCAAGTTGTATCTACAAACCACGTTGAACCCAACCATTTGGGCGCTGGAATTCAAACGAGAAACGTCAACAACCTGGTCTTGCCTGCAGTGGGCAGCCTAAAGGTACAATTACCAAAGGTCCTGGATGCTTGATATGACTTATGAGTAGTCTGTACCATGCCAGACTTTGTGGAGCACCTGGGTTGTCATCCGCTCGCTCACATCAAATGGTGAAGGACCACCAGATAGATCTTTGTCGACGCGGGCATCATTCGCCTTCACACAAAGCAGTGACAGTAGAGACTTCATCACTACTGCTGCGATGGCCTCTGCATCATTGCGCCTCGGCCGGAACAAAAATGAAAAGTGGTTCACGTTCTTCTTTTGCACGGGCTCAAGGATGAAGAGAACTAGACGACGAATGGTCCGGGAACGTTGAAACACATGCATATCAGTTCTGTTGTTGTTCAGTGTGTCTCGTTCTTGTATCACAACATATCACAACGCTTGTGGATCAAGCGTTTAGCTACAACAACGTACAGTAGCGACAAGCCTCATGGACAGCGCCAATCATCCCAATCATTCTTCTCTTCCACCAATGGCACGGGCTTCCGGAAACGCACTTTCCACCAAGGCCGTGTCAGACTGAATGGCACAGCGACATCGCAAACGTTATAGGCTAAATGGAGGGTGTGTGGAGAAAGGGGGTCAGCAAAAATCGCTTATACGAAGTTAGTGCATCAAAAATACCTTCCACGAAGTTCTGCGAAGGTTTCTGGAATTTCGTTGCAGTCAGTTCTCCTACTGGCCCACCATTCCACGAACTGTCCACGAATAGCCTTGGGTTCTACGAATGTCCCACGCCTTCCACGATGTTAGTAGAATAGGTTTTTGCAAAACCCTTTCTGTGCACTACCCTTCCGTTTGCCTCTGAAACGTAATTTATCGTAATTTCATGTAATTCTGCCACATGGCGCACCACAGACTAGATACAGCAATGTAGCACCAAGCCTCGTGGAATCATCCCGGCCCCCCCACCGCACGCCGCGTTTACGCTGTGGGCAGCGCCAGTCATTTCGCTCCCCAGCATTTCCTTCCTCCAATGACACAGACTTGCGCAAACGCCCTTTCCACCGAGGCCGGGCAAAAACCGCGTGTCATGGCGACATCGCAGCCGTAATTTCCACAGACTGCATTTGCGCTACATCTGCACTATGTTGCCAGCTTCCTGCAAACATGCGCATTACAAAATTGCCCGTCTGGGCCGTTCTCCAGTTCCCAGAAGCCCCGGCCGCGCCTGTCTAGTTGCCAGTTCTGAGGCCAGGTTCCAGAAGCGTGCTGCTTTTGTTGCCAGTTCTGAGGCCACAGCTCCCACCCGTCTACATGTATGTGTCCTACAAAGTTGCCAGCTCTGAGGTCACAGCTCCCAGAAGCTGCTGCCTGTTTGTTTGTTCGACGACACAGTAGCTTACACACTTTTTTGGCAACGCACACCTTCGGTTGCGATGACAGACACATTGGCAACATCTACCTGCGTACTTGACAGCAGTTACACATTTTGGCAATTCCCACCTTTGTTTTTGAGGACAGCCAAACACTTTTGGCAAGTTACACGACCTCCACCTTCGTTTTCGATGGCAGCACACACGTTGGCAATCCACCGTCGCTTTTGATGACAACTACGTGGTAACAGGAGTTCGCCCACAACAGGCATAGCTGCGCGTAGCTCTCCTGCAAGGACTATCTAAGAGCTACCATTAAGAGTGAAGCAAAGCGGTACGAAGACCCGAACAGCGAACAAAAGACAATACGAAGAGAAACCAAAGGGAGGTGGTGACAAAGCACCCAACGGATACGAGACGGAGAAGTGACTTTGACAAGTTGTCAGTAGAAACAGACCAGGAAAACCAGGGGCTCACCATCCTTGAGGAGAGGAGAGGGGAGCACAGCCAAACCTCACCCTCAGTCCAAGCAAGCCACAAGGGGTGAAATGGGGAGGGAGAAACCGACAGTGTGCAAACAACAGTCGAACAACGACGAAGAACCGAACCAGTCCTGACAGCGGGTCACGGGCGGGGACGAACGTCGCGCGAACCATGGCTCGCGAGGCCGGGGTCTTTTGGGGCTCCGAAGCCGACCCGAACCTTTACTAGCAGACTTGCCCCTAGCAGTAGGGTCTGGAAGTTCAAGCTTGGACAGGACTGACCGTTGGCAGCAGAGTACTGCAACCGGGCTTCCCAAAAAATGGGTGCAAAGCAAAGGACAGCATGGTTTCCCGACCCAGCAAAACAGTTTCGGACGGCCAAAACACAGCGATAAGAGGCCATGGTTTGTCCTCAACAGGCTCCCCAGAAAATGTAATGCCAGGTGTTTGTCGGATTGAATAATTATCCTAGAGGAACTCATCCTTCACAGCAGCATGTGATACCTATTTTCTGCTCATCTTGGTCTGAGTTGTTTTATGAAAAAACATCACTGTAAACATCAGCAGGCGGTTGGCAACAACGCCAACACGGAGGCGCCAAGGAT